CCGTTACTTATCTATCGGTACATTAGCACTTATAATTTTAGCCGTCTGTTGTTTTAGCTTGACTAACCAAGATATTAAAATTAATGGACGAAATGAATCTTCTTTAACGTATGTTTAACATTGTAAATAAAAAATTTAAGATCGTAAGGTGTAAAGCAAAGAAGGCTTCACATATTCAAAGAATGACATTAGTATCGATCTGGTATGGTTCACCTCTTCAAAGCAATATACATGCAAATTCGCGAGACAACAACACGTATTTGTACAAGAATCGAAACCGGCTCAAAGTTCTTTATACATTAATTTTTAAGGAATATTGTACGTTTTTTAATAACGTACGCACGTTCGATAGACATACTATAAATAAAGTTAAAATTCTCCATCCACCATATATTTAAAAGGCAATTGATCATTTAAATCTTGTCTCAAGCCATTAAGTAGATGGGTGTCGTTTGAAATCACTTAGAAAAAGCTGTGACTGCAAAATTCAGAGAACAAGCGTTATTTGCATAAAGTTCCTATTTACCGACCGCGAAGGCTTTCAAGGAAATTGTGCTGAATATTCATTATGTACATATTTCTTGCGACTTATGGCCAGTCTCAGATACCTTTGATTCTCTTAATCCTGCACTTCTACTCTGTTATAATATTATAAGACGAAATACTGTTTAATGGAGGTTATCTATTTTTATAAATATATAATAACATAAAACTGGTCAAATATTTATTAAATGGGTAGTCATACTTTGAACACAACAAAAGTCTTCATTAATATCTACTTTGAGATCGAAAAACTATATTTAAACCGAAGTCTTCATTAATATCTACTTTGAGATCGAAAAATTCCTCCATAATAATTATACTTGTGGGTGAATGATGATATACCAGTCTCATGATATCGAGATATATTAGTTTAAAGTGCTTAAAATAATCTTTATGGCCAGGGAATTTCTAACGTAATTAGATGTTCAACCTCAATTATAGTACTTATAAATAATCTTCAAAGTTAACCAATTGTAAATTATGTAGATTGGTCTTATATACGTCGGTCGAGAAAATTAACTGATATAATCTTTATTTGAATATTCTAATGTTTTGGCGAATTTGTCTTAACTTAAGAGAGATTTGAATATAATGAAGGGCAATGCTTGAACTGCCGTGAGAAAGCGAAAATTTATTTTACTTTTGAGGATACATATTTACTTTTATCTCCAAGTGAGAATAAGTAATAGAAAGTACCTAGTCGTTTTAAAAGAAAAGTTTAGTCGTAGAATTGAAATTATGGGGGAGGGTCACTAACGGGCATTAAGTGACGATCTTTTTAAATAAAGTTGTTTTAGTAGTTTTACTTACGTAAATTCACCCCTTGAAGATGCAAGTTGCAATTCACCAAAAATAGAGATAATAAATATATTCTAACACAAATTGTAATATTTTCATGATATATTAAAGCTGCTTACAAACTACGTTTCTATGTATATGTTCATCATGTTTATCTTAAGAGCTAGTCAAATGTTTGTAGTACTATAATCATTACTATATGTCATTATCTACACATCACCGCACATACATTACTCCCTATTCGGCTAGTAATTAATCTGTGTAACAGCTGCTGTGGGTGCTTGACAAACGATGTCGAATTGCCAGTCTTGATTAGCTTTATAGCTTTTGTCTCCTGTTTAGTTCACAAAGTTCGAGTGGATAAAACTGAAACGGGAAGTAATATACGAAGAGAAGCCAGGTTGAAAAAGGCTTTATCTTTTGTATCAGAAAGTGTTAAAGCCTATTTTTTACCTAACGGTTAATTAACTCAGTACGATATCGCAGACATGAGAATATATTGTCCTTGGATTGAAGAAATCTTGCGTTACAAACAGGACAGTGTTCTTGTTTTCCCTATCATTCAGTTCACATATAACATGCAGTGGCGGATATACAATTGCCGCCACTACGCTAATAAATTTTTACCGTTTCTACTATTCATTATATTCTGTTTATTCAACATTCTTATTTCAATCTCTTTAACTAATTTATTTTTAATGTTTCTCTACTCTGTCGTCATCATTACATCAGTTTTTCCGTTATTAGTATGATTGTGAAGTAAGGGATCGTGGTGTCAGTTCCTTGTTCATTCTTACAACTCACGATTTAGTGAGATTTATTAATAAAATTATATGAGTATCTTGCTGAGCAAAGGAAAGCCAATCATGTACTACTTATAAGTTATGTTTTCTTGTTCTTTAAAATACACAACATTTTGAACCAAATTTCACGCCCCAACTAAAATGTGCTGCTCTTGACTTCAGTATACTCAGCCTGGTGATAAATCCGTCACTGGCATAGTCTATATTATGATTGAGTTAATATGCTTATAGTGTTTAAAGAGAATTTTACTTCTGTTACGATAATTTACAAAGAAACAAAATTCTATATTGAAGTACATACGTAACTTAAATCGTGGTATTAATTTTAAGATGACAGTTAAAATTCTTTATTTTATTTGATAAAAATCTTTCTTTCTACTGATTTAATTCTTCGTTTCGCAAATAGCACTTTATCTTTGCACCTAAAGTTTTCCGATCACACAGCTATTTTACTAAGTAGCGGTTTGAACTATGAACTTTCCTCCTGAATGGTGGTTTGTGCAGAGGAATAATTTATGTAAAAGCTTCGCTTAGCTAGTTATTGACGTTAGAAGCGGAAAGCGTTGCATACATAAATCCATAGCTCTTGTAAACAACTCAAAACTTTTTTTTTTGTAACTTATTAAATACGTATAAAATAGGTTTACAAGACTGAAAATTTGATCACTATACTATAACAATCCAGTAGCATTTTGGAGGCCAGCCTTTGTAAGAAAATTTAAACAGACACTGTATAACAATAAAATGCAAAATAATTTCGTATTTTGTTTATTAAGTATCTATTAACATGCTACATATTTACAGTACAATATTTGAGATATGTTCCTATCATTAAATCTAGAGCATGCATAACAAAATTCGACAATTTTAATAATATTGAAAAGTAGTTGACATAAAAAGTACCTATAAAAAGTACCCGTAAAAAGTACATAAAAAGTACCCAGCAATATAAACGTTTGTATCAACCCTTTACACTTTTCAGCATTGGAAATTTTAGTCCCTTTTAGATAAAACGAGTTATACAAATCTTTGACTATACGAATTATAGTAATTGTCATTTCAAGGACAAATGTGATTGCATCTAATAACATTTTTTTGTTTCGATTAAGCGATTAGCATTTAATTCAAAATATAAAAGTGTATGCACAAAATACCCGCTTAAATGAAAAATATATATGTCTTTGTTTTGCAACGACGCTAATAACCCTACAATCTGGTACAACACTTTATAGCCGAAGCCAATAAAATAATTTTATGATACTGTCGAGTACAAGGACTCCATTACACGGTGATATACAATATGTTACAAGCGCTGAAAAATTACGTTTTTGGCGCCAAGAATGAGTACCGAATGATTATATAATATTTTGGTTTGAGGTTATTGCCCGCTGAAACGCAGCCGAGAACGCAGCTGATAAAAACATAAACTGTGATACTACTCAAAATATTTTTTTTAAATCTAAATTATAAGTGTATACGTAATGAAAGCTGAAAGTTCTTGTTAAAGCACTTTAGGGAGTCGCCTAATTTTAGCTGAGATGCATTAAATGAATTTGAATCTACTGTCTTATTATTAGTCACCAATAAAAAAACAATACCCTTATTCTAAATAATGTTTATGAATATAAAATCTTATGATAATTATTTTCAAAACTATTGAAACGATATTGACGTTGCAGGATCATAAATTAAAGTGAAGTTTAAATAGATAAAAGAATAGCGGCTTAATAATCATACAGCTCAAGAGGAAATAACTAATTTATCAAGATGAGTTTACGAAACCAACATACTACATTAATAGACAATTTGCATGTACAATGAAGTTAGACTGGAGAATATTGTGGTCATGTATAGGATTACTAATGACCATTGAAACCACACTATGACTATATTATGAAGTATCGCCAGCAGCAAATTATTCATAGTATTAATTTTCTATGGAATACAGCCTTCAGCGTAAAACAAAGTTCGGTGTGGTGAGTCGAACAGATCCACAATTTCGGTTTTTTTTTTAATTTTAATATTTTTAATTTAATATTTTTATTTTTACGCTTGGATTAGATGTTTTCTCTTGTTTTATGACAAATAACTGTCTCATAATCCATTTAATATTTATTTGATGTCGTAAAAATTACTTATAATTATTAGGAAATATATAAGTAAATTTTATTCTTAAGCTCTATTAATTTCTTCGTTAATTTATGGAAATAAAATCTAATGTTTTTATCGATAAATTTTCGAAATTCAACCTCCTTTTATCTATATCCTTTTGTAATCACAATTACCAATACGTACCATTTAAGACACTTTATTTTTTTAATGAAGTGATAACGACGAAAATTGGATAGCTATTTGATGTGTATAATTTGTAATATTTTGATTTTATTCATTATTTCAATAGTTAACAGGCCTTGCCTTGGTATCTTAGGATTTTTTTTATAATTTCATAAATGAAATATTTTTCCTAAACTGCGTGGTTTTTATTACTTACTAAAATAATTATGGTGTTTGAATGTATACATATATATACGTTATCAACATTTACTTAATACAACTTCGTTTTTACATACTTTTGGTCATATTTTATGATTCACCTATAGTAATATTGACGTTTAAGTAAACGAAATGATTACAGCTCGAACATAACATTCGCTTGAATATAAATTTTATACAGGTTTGTAATTAAAAATTTAATACAATTATTATAATCTTAACACAACAAGGAAGGGTTTAACTGGTTAACAGCATTAATATAGATCGAAGGAAAAGTGAACCATATTGTAAGACAAGCCAATTTCAAACAAAATTTCTAAATGACACTTCACTTAATGATGAATCTGTCAAATACAGAGGCATTTATACAAAAATAAAGTCAGGTTTTGTACAACAGTCGCTACGTTTGTCAAGATTGTCCTTTCCACGGATCCACTTGCCATGACAATGTGGGGCAACTAATGCATAAAATCTGGTAGAGTGGCCGGACACACCATGACCACTGCAGCGCCATTTAAGATCCCGTTTGAGGGCTGCGGCTTCACACATCACACATATAGTGTTACCTGTTGAAAAATGGCTGGGTTTATTAAAAAAAATCATTATATTGTTTGTAAAAAGTACCTATACTGGATCTAAATTTCATTTAGAAGTCTTATCATGTATAGGTATGTTATTATCGTTACTGGACATCTTAACTAAACGGTGTATTGTGCTATGGCTATTCAGGTAACGCTACAGTATGTTCTGTTGGTGAAATCATTACTGACATATCGTCGCTACGAGTAAACTGGAAATCTAGTATAAATAGGTACCGCTACTATGCGCAAATCTTAGATATTAATTTTATACGGCTGCCGTGATTTATTCTAGGACTCTTAATCCTTAAAACCAGTCGTAATTTCAACGAGTTGTAGTTATTTTGAAAACGGTTGTCTAATATACTTTTTGTAGAAAAAACTACTAAAATAACAATTATTTAATTTAAATATGAAACTCGACCGAAATTTTATCTCCAGGGTCCTGGGGTCGAAATATTGTCCTGGCGAAACAATATTTGTTTTAGTTTAGAATGCACAGAACAGCTGGGCCTTTCATTGATTCATAAAATTGGCAAGACCGATAAAAGTATGTTAGTTAACCCAAAATTAGACTTTTACACCATTCCTTGTAGCAATATATAAAGTTGTAAATATGTTCTAAAGGATAAACAAACCCGCAAAGTATATAATAACTGGGCAAAATGGTTCTCCAACTTTTACTTAGAGAGAACAAAAGCGAAAAATAAAGAATTAAGAACCAAACATTCAGCAAAATTAATATTTTTCCATTAAAAATACCTTCTCGTAAAGCTTTGTAGTCGGAGTCGGTGTGACACGCTTTTGAAACTTTCAACACTTCGAACTGAACGCAGTACCTGAAATAACAGATTTTATTAAAAACATCGCCGCGTTTCTTTGATTTCTTTACATTTCGAGTTACATTCAGGAAATTAAAAAGCAAACCTCTCTTTCAATTGGCATTTTGTAATATGGAATAAGTCTAATACATTTTATTTATTGCTTCGTTTTAATACAATAAATACACTGAAATAATTTATAGGCTCGTTACTAAGAGAAAATTAAAAACAAGAGCGAATGTGGGACTTAGAACTGGCCAAACATAAAACCATAGATAATATACAAGCGAACAATAACTGAATTAACGAAATCATTCCCAGATCATTCCTGTTCAGGGTTCTTCTAAACAAGGGCCTCGACAGCTCAGCTCGGTCTGTTTTGGCGAACGTAGCTCGAACGGAATGGGCTTTTACCGCGAATAGCGCAAGGGCGTCTCCTGCGAGACTCGGATCTCGGTTTAAGTCGCCGCGGGGTGGTCAATAGCCTGAAGGGCAGTACGAAGGTTTAAATGAAAAAAAAATCAAAGGGAAACCAGAAAATCACAAGAAATTCCAATTAACTGGAAGCAATTTTAACAGACGATATAATTCAATTAAAATTAACACATGATGGGTATTTCTCACACACACATATCATAAAATAACTTACTCTCTATGGGAATTGGATTCAGGATCATCAGGGTTTCTTAATCGAAGGTTCTTTCTGATGTCCACCGTGTCATTGGAGTGACGACTCATAGACAGCACGCCCGGTAGAATCATGGCCGTTTCCTCTACAAAAATGTATTTAAAACATGCACTTAGTAAGTTAGTACATTTTACCACTTAATTGCTTACAAAGAAAAAATCCAACAAAAACAAAACGCATTAACCGTATAACAATTCAATTAAAAAACGATTTAATAAACCCGAAGATTGAAGTTATATTGCGTTTTGTATTTATTATATATAGCAATAGTCTGAGTCTTTTATAGCATGTAATACGTTTGTTAGGTATTTAAAAAAGCCTATATATATATACCGACAATTTATTACATCAACCTGTAACCATGCTTTGCACGGAAACTTCTCGACAGTTTTAATTTCGAAATAAAAATTTGTGGAATTTAAATAATACTTCTTGGTCTGATCCCGATATACAACGACCTTCACCGAGATGCTTATTTAATGAAACGTATTTTATATTTAATTTAATATGTCAATAAATATAATCCATATGGGTTGCCTAGCAAATTTCAGTCCAGAGTATTTTAATTAATATTAAAAAAAAATATATTTTACTAAACATTTCACCGGTATGATTATTAGATAAATTCTATACCAATCGAAAGTATGAAGCCCATAGAATATGTAAACGTTAGGTTGTTTTTAATCAATTAATTATTTATGTGTATATTTTTTATGTGACACTAAAGTATATATACATCTTTAGTAAAAAAGAAAGTTATAGTAATAAAAATATTGATTGAAAAAAATTAAAAAAATGTACTACATGCAAATTATAAAAAAATATTTTTTGTTTTAAATATTAATTAAAATACTCTGTACTGAAATTTGCTAGGCAACCCATATGGATTATATTTATTGACATAATATTAAATTAAATATAAAATACGTTTCATTAAATAAGCATCTCGGTGAAGGTCGTTGTATATCGGGATCTTAAACTATCTTGCAATGGTATAAATGTCAAATCATTAAATTATTAACATATCTCATTGTGTTCAGTGACTCGCTTCAAGATTCCTGAAGCACTCGACGCGAGTTACGTAAATAAGATTATAAATTAACGTTCATACGTTTCATAAGTTTTATTTTAATTGTGTGTATATCTATATATCTTAATATATATAAATAACGTGTCACGTTGTTTGTACGCTATGGACTCCTAAACTACCGAACCGATATCAATCAAATTTGCACACCGTGTGTAGTTTGATCAAACTTAAAAGATAGGATAGCTTACATCTCAATTTATATCCGCAATGTAATTTTATTGCAAATTATTTGTTAATTATTTGACACAATTCTAACAGATGGCGCTGTGTTGAAAGTACCAACGTTTCACATAAGCTACAATTTAATGGCATAGCCACCAAAAAAGCATGGTGATCCCCATGGCTGTTGTTTTCCTGCAGTTTCCTTCGAATAGTTTACGACTATGTAATATAAAAAAACCTTAGCCACAGCAACGCTTGGCGGAGTATGCTAGTATACATATATATATTGCTTGCGCAAACTAAGGAAAATAACTGTGAAATTACTATAAGATATAAATTATATATTAAAATATGATGTGGCCCTACCTCTCAAAGGTACATCGCTATCCTCAGTACATCCATGATGGGCCTGGCAAGCTCTCCGTTGGACCAGCGATGGACAGTGTCGACCACCGTGCGCAGCCGCTTGTAAGACTGTTCTACTCCTCACCATACTTCCAGAGCCGCAGGCTGTGTCACATTCCGACCAGTCACCCCAGCTTGAGACTACGCAGTCCAATACTGAAATCATAATGAGGTTTTATTTCTGTGCCGCTGAGGTAAAAGTTACTGTGTCTGAGGTTTGAAAATATGGACTAAATGATTCTCTGTTTGTTGTAATATGCGCAGTTCTTAAGAAATAATATAAGGCGCAAGTGATACTTTGTCTATTATATAGCTGATGGACGACATAATGTAATAAAGTGTTATATTACGGAAAAGCAAATTCAAAGCGCACCAAATTGCCTTAGTAAAGGCAACAGTGCATATAAGGGCAAAAAACAAAAAATGCTTTGGAAATATGGCAGATATATGAAACTAACCAATAATTAGTTCTCATGTCGCAGACCCAATAAATAAAAGTCAATTAAATCATTAATATAATATCTACGTTACACAAGGTATTAACCGAACCTGCGCTAGCCAGGAATAATGCCAACAAACCCTATCGCTTATTATATGTATAACTATAGACTATTCCTAAAAACACAATAAATTATTCTTAGCAATATATGAACTATTGAACACCTATAATGTCTGTAAATGAGGTAGTTAATGGCCTATAAAGCTGGATAACTGGCAATCTCTCAAACTTAACACCGTTATTACTCAGTTTATTGCAACCGTGCAGGTATTCTGTGGAAATTCTTCAGCATCCCTTTTGGAAATCTTAGATTAATTGCTAAAGTGACTTTGTTGTAAATATCAAATGCTGATATTGTCGAATTTGGTCCAAGCTTATTCTTAGTGCATTGCGAAAATTATTTGATTGTGTTATATTACATCTAAGCAAGGACTAGTAAAATTGTCAAAACGCCCTGAGAGTTTTAAGACTAACAATTACAGAGAGGTTTGTAATAATTATATATGAAAAAAATATTTTGACAAACAACTTAAGAAAGAAATATTAGGCAAAAAAAGACCTAACACATACACTCGTTGATACCAATGTGTATGTTATGAAAGTTCTAATATCGAATACTATTTCCAAATTTACCTTTACCAAACACATATCGAACCTATAAATATGGTAATATTTTTATAAGCTGCTCTTGTTTTTTTCATTTCAGTAAAACCAGTTTCCAGTTCAGTGGGTGAACAGAAAATTGCAGTCACTCGGAACTAACAGCTTCGGGGTAAAATAAAATGCACTTTTAAACAAGGATCTAATGAGAATGTAATAACAGTATTTTGTTGTCCGAACTGTTTTGTTAATACAACAAAAAAAATTGCATTCACTGTTTAAATGCATTTTAGTGCTTTATTAGTATCAGCATAAAAAAGTGTATGTGATGTATCACAACATTGGACCGACACATGTATGCCCGCATAAATCGAAAATTATTATTAAAACAGTACAATAATATTTTTTTATTTTAGACAAATGGCGTTTTATATTTCCAATTATTATATATTGACAAAAATCGTGTGCAGGTTCGCCAAATAAAAGACAATTATTAATCTAATGACTTCACCGCTGAGCCACAGCAGAGGATCATGAGAAAGAACCTTTTTTGTTTCAGCAGAAGACCAATGACACGGTCAGCGTGTACCTTACTGTTTAAACTAGATAAGTTACGGTGATGTCGCCAGGATTTGAAATTGTAAATGTCTTCACATTATAAAAGTCTTTACAAATATTCAAAAGATTTATAATAAGAAACACCGTCACATTGTAAAATCGAATAATATGCACCGCCCCTCGGACCCTGATCTCCATCCAAGGTCTTAACCTAAATCCACTAACCGCCAACCATATTCACAAAACAATTGGTCATTTCCATAATTTATGGAATAGTGGTTGCTATTTTTATAATGAGTTTTTCTAACATCTTAAAAAAACGGCCGTTACTTAATGGGCATTCATTTTCATTGAATATTCATTACCGCCGTGGTATTTTTACGGAGTTTATCGCGGCGGTCCAAAGTAGGGACACAAACTTTATTAAATGTTGTTAATGGTACTTTAAGTAGAGTAAATTAAAACTTCAGAGACCGAATTAAGTTTTGTGGCGGTTTCTGTATGGATATGTTCAAATAAAACTCTTTGTTTGAATCTGGGTAACAACTGACTTTAATGGTTTAAAATATGAGCTTATAACTATCACAAAATTAGGGTAGAGGGGTTGCGACGCTAACAAAGACAAACTTAGCGTATCTATGGGGTCACAAATCTAAATGACACTTATGTTATTGGACATCATCGGAAACGAGAATGTTAAAATACAATTATAATAGTGTGGTAAAAACTAGAGGTCTCAATAGTGGCTTAAAGTGTACGATGGTTGTTTGGTTTACGCTTCTAATTATAAGTAACCCATTTTTTTATTAATTTTATTATAATATAATCCATATGGGTTTCTAATTTCATCAAGTATGTTTAATTAATAATTTTAAAAAATATTTTTTAAAATTTACTATATTATTGATAATTTATACAATAAAGTATAACATAAATATCAAATTTATGCTCCCTTCTTTTACAATATGGGTTGCCTGTATAAAAGGTAATTCTGTATAATTTTAAGTCTGTTTATTAATAAATTTAAATTAAATTAAAATTATTTTATTCTAAACGGTGTATAGGTTTCTCAAAAATAGTCCAAATTGCGGTTGTCGAATTTTAAAAAGTAAAATATTCTCAAGTAATGTGTTACTGAGAGCAATCTATGAAAGGACACACATACACTGTTTACAATCCACCACTTAAAATGAGAGTCCATTATTTGGGCTTGGAAAAAAAAATACGATGACTCTATAATTATCATCATTTTGGAGTAGTTTATTATTTAAATAGAGAAATAGTTATTTAATTTTTTTAATAATTAATTATTTATGTGTATATTTTTTGTAACTAAAGTATATATAATCTTTAGTAAAAAAAGAAGGTTGTAGTGATTCATATATAATATACCTATTAAAAATATTGATTGAAAAAAATAAAAAATTACATCAAATTATAAATCTATAAAATATGTAAAAGAGAAATTGAAATCAATTAAACTATTGGAAAAAATTCAAAACCATAAAAGTAATTTTTTGATCAGGGTAATCTTAAAAAATTAAATATACAATTTTTTTAATTCTTAGAATCCGAGTCATAGGAATAAAACTTTCTTAATTCTAATTTCTTGTCATACTTTCTGTTTCACTTTTTTTGAAATGTCTTCTATCTTTAAAGGTGTATGATCCCCAATAATCCTACTGGTTTCATCTAAGAACCTCCCAGTTCTCAGGCTCAAATTTCACCATATTGGATCCGTTGCATTAACCACATGGAATTTCGAAAATAAAATATATATTTTAATATATACATATTATATTTTAATATAGAAATATAGAAGATCTATTAGCTAAGATAATTTTAAATCATAATAATTTTAGCAATATTTTATTTTTTAAAATTCGACAACCAATTCTGGACTGATTTTTGCAGAAACCTTACCACCGTGTTCAGAATAAAATAATCTTTAATTTAATTTAAATTTCATTCAATAAACAGACCTTCAAATGCTAGTAAGAATTACCTGTTTATACCAGGCAACCATAGTTGTGACCGGATAAGAATGGGCAGCATAAAGTTTGCATATTCTATGGGCTTCATACTTTATTGGTATAGAATTTATCCAATAATCATACCGGTGAAATGTTTAAAAAAATATTTTTTTAAATTATTAATTAAAATACTCTGGACTGAAATTTGCTAGACAACCCATATGGATTATATTTATTGACATATTAAATTAAATATAAAATACATTTCATTAAATAAGCATCTCGGTGAAGGTCGTTGTATAGCGGGATCTTAGACCATAAGTAATAATTCTAAAGTAAGGTAAGATAACTCCCGTATAAAAATTAAAATAATAGCTGTATATTGTCTAAGTAGTCGTTAAATATTTAAGAGAGAAAGAGGCATAATTTGCAAGCGATTTTTTTAACCGTGTTAAAAAAATCTTAATGCACATAATATTTCTATATTTGTCATTAGGATCTTCTATTTCGTGATAATTCCGTATGAAGACATTTCTATGTTATGTGTTTTATTATTATAAATTTATTAATTTTGATATTATTCCCATTAAAAAAGCATAAACGGGCGATGACCTAAAGTCGGTACTTTAGGTCAGGTATGAAATCGCAAAGTTTGCCGCTTTATACTCCAATACATTTATAACATGATTAGATGCCTTTCTGAAACACTTTGCTTCATTGGGGTCCAAATTATTGCGAACAAAAGTCCAATTAACTTGATTAATTACGAAGCACTCGGGCGTCGATTAAAACACATTTCTCTAGGTAAAAAGGATATTTTCGTAACAATACACAATAGCAAACAAATAATGCGTCTTTCGATTTGGTAAATACCAGCTTCTTTTGACAGTTTTTTTTATGTAGGAGTTATTTTATAATACGGTACTTAACGAAACCTAGAAATTTTCTGCTAGCGAAATAATTTTTGGTGTACTCGCGGTTTCTATTGATCTTATGTGTATTTAAATAGCGATTAAATTGAGTAAACACAGTGCGAATATATTATTTGTACCTTTTGAGATATAGTCTTGCGTCCATATTTTTGAACCTATAGGTATAATAATAATAATTATCTAGTGGCCTCAGATTGCATTGGTTTACTAATTTTTATTTCTCGATGTCACTTGTCATTTATGGATTTTTCATGATGTTTCACAATGTGTTAGATGCGCACATCGTCATAAAGTCCATCGGTGCATAGCTCAAGCCACTACGCTAACACTGCTATCTAGGTGTAGTCGCAGTAAAATATTTTATACTAACATAGTTTTAAACATCTTAGTGGAGCTTACTTTCTTAATAGAGCTGATAAAAGCGTGTTTTAATGCATAAAGTACTATCAAACGTTACTCCACATAAAAATAAATGACGGCCATTGTACTAAACCATTTCGCGAGGGATGAAAGTATAAAATAGTAGGTTTACTTTCCTCACACTTTATTTTAAGAAGCCACCTTGAATACCTACAGTTGGAACTTAAAAATAGTTAAAAGTTTA